TCCACTAGGTTGTCTGCTGGATCCCGATCCCCATCAGTATGGCGGGTGCCACAAACGTGGAGGAATGGTTTAAGGTTACCGTCTTATGGATATACACGGTGTGGGGCATGTAACTAGGCAACGTCACGTGCTGTTCATTCGTTGCGTTTATGCTTGGATGAAATAACTCAAATAAAATGGGTGAATGGGGAATTGTTTGTTGTTTATTTATTTGTAGTGGGAATTAACTATTGGACTTACCTATGATTTTTTATCTGCAGGATACCTTTACCAAAGTGGGTTGTGGAGGAGATTGACAAGGATCAGGACCTTGCATACACGGATCAGTGGGGAAGAAGGAATTATGAATATGTATCTCTTGGTTGTGATACCATTCCTGTTCTCAAGGGCCGAACTCCTGTACAGTGCTATGCTGATTTCATGCGTGCCTTCAGGGATAACTTCAAACACCTTCTTGGTGACACCATTGTGGTAATTACTTCCTTCTCTCGTTAAATTTTGTTGTTTGTGTTAATGCTTAACTGGACTTTATCAATTCAAGCTTGCTATTGTCTGCTGTTAAAGAAGATTGCAGCTAAATTGTTCTGAATTTGTTCTTGACAGGAAATCCAAGTGGGAATGGGTCCGGCAGGTGAGCTCCGTTATCCTTCTTACCCAGAGCAAAATGGAACATGGAAGTTCCCAGGAATTGGAGCCTTTCAGTGTTATGATAAGGTAATTAACTAGAATTCTCTCTCTTCCTTGCTAGCAATTAAGTTGCATTATCTGGTTCTTACTTGATGTTGGAATAATGCAATGCAGTATATGCTAAGTAGCTTGAAAGCAGCAGCCGAGGCAGCTGCTAAGCCAGAATGGGGAAGCACAGGTCCCACTGATGCTGGTCATTACAACAACTGGCCTGAAGACACCCAGTTTTTCCGTAAAGAAGGTGGTGGATGGAATAGTCCTTATGGTGAATTCTTCCTTGGCTGGTATTCTCAGATGCTATTGGATCATGGTGAGAGGATATTGACATCAGCCACATCGATTTTTAAGGATACTGGTGTGAAGATCTCAGTCAAAGTTGCTGGTATCCACTGGCACTATGGAACCAGGTCCCATGCTCCTGAGCTCACTGCAGGTTATTTTAACACAAGGAACCGAGATGGTTATCTTCCCATTGCCCAAATGTTAGCCCGTCATGGTGCTGTTTTCAATTTCACATGCATAGAAATGCGTGATCACGAGCAGCCGCAGGATGCTCTCTGTGCACCTGAAAAGCTTGTGAAGCAGGTGGCCTTAGCTACTATAGCAGCACAAGTTCCTCTTGCCGGGGAAAATGCATTGCCACGCTATGACGAATATGCCCATGAGCAGATCATTAAAGCATCTTCACTGAATATTGATGACAATCCAGAGGGAGACAGGGAGATGTGTGCATTTACATATCTGAGGATGAACCCAGACCTCTTCCAGCCTGACAACTGGAGACTGTTTGTGTCATTCGTGAAGAAGATGAAGGAGGGTAAAGATGCCCAACGGTGTCGGGAGCAGCTGGAGAGGGAAGCAGAGCACTTTGTTCACATCACCCTGCCTTTGGTGCAGGAGGCTGCTGTTGCTCTTACACATTAGAAATATTGGTAAAGCTTACCTCACACATAGTTTTAATTGGAAATGAGGGAAGCATGCCTTAATTACCACAGTATCATATTGTGCCAATAACTGCATAAAACTAAAAGCCATTGCTTTGCCATAGCTCTTTTTGTTAAGCTGTGGCTGTAAAAGAGAGCAATGTTGTTCTATAAGATAGGGGATTCTATGTATTTTGCCCCAGTACTTTAAACCTTCTATAATTAAACACAAAATTATAGTACAATATCTATATCTCTCTCCCTACATGAGTAAATGATGCTATGTACCTTTGAATGTCTTCTATCCTTGCATTTGAATATATCCTAATCTCAACGGATCGACCCCATCCCAATACGCACGCTAAAATTTTCATTTGGCTTTTTCTTTGAAGATTTTAATTTTATTTTATTTATCATTTTCCTTCTGTGGTCTATATTCGCCATTAATTGGAGCTTCTTGCAGCTATCTTTGACCTAACCTTTTTTTCAACTTGTATGCGGAAGGGTCAGGACGGTTAGGTGTCCTTTTTAGACCAAGACATTCACATGAATCTGCTAGTGGTTTGATTCTTATTATTTTTA